CGTTTATTCACACGTCTGTGTCGGTGTTTCAAAATACATAAGATACATAGATAATTTTGCCTCTCGTGCGATCGATTCAAGGGAGCTTCACTGAAATTTCGTCGAGAATTACGAACGCAGTCTCCGGCTATATCCTTCCTCCGCCATCGGGGAAAATGCCAGCACCCACCCCCGGATGTCCAGAATAGAGAAGATTCCGAACCGAGCTGCCTCACTCACAGCGGACAGTATTTAATAATATACCTACATCCGTAACACGGGCCAGTGGGCCTTTGGCGGAGTAGCTTACGTATGACAGATCAGATGGTTCGATCAATGAAGGATTTATTTTCTCAGAAAAACTAGGTACGTATAAATATCCGAGATGGGGAAAGTTTTATCAATCAGTTTCTCATCTCCCAGGGGACCCGATCTGGGAGTACGGCCCCCGCAGGCAAGATGGGAACGCGGTCCGTTGTCTGCTGTGTCCCGACCAGTCTGAATTCGCCTCGAACACGCAAAATTACGAAACGTTCAGGCGACATCTAGAAACTGAGCATATGCTCTTCAGGTGTTCCCCGAACCCGAACCGTCGATTGAGCACCTCTGCCGCGAAGACAAATACTTCGAAAATCAGCGAGAGTACGGTCGCAAGCGGTAGTGAGCTCTCCGATAACGGGGTCGCCTCCTCAACAAGTCAAAAACACAGGGGTGACGACAAGGACTTCCGCGACCTAGTCTGCGGCTTATGGATGGCCAAATGGAATATACCAGACCATAAATTCACTGGCCCAGGCTTCCGACTAGCTCTGTGGAGAATGGGACTGGGGACGATCAGCCCAAAAATAGCGAAAGACTCCGTGGACCGTGAGTACAGCCGTGCGAACGGTCTACTGATATCCGAAATCGCACAACTCAAGGCCAGGCGTTGCGTTTTCACGCCGAGCGCGGACGAGTGGAGCCTAAAGACGAAACGTTCCGTGGGGGTGACGGTGCACTCCAGTTCGGCGATACCGTGCCTGCAATCATCGAGCATCGAATTGATGGGGAGATTGTTTGACACCGGGGACGCCGAAAATATCCTGCGGGCCCTTCTTTTTCCAGGCGTGTGACGCGCGCGCCTCGCACCAAGCAGTGATTGTCACGTTGGGAGGCAAGCGCTTGAACGCGGAACCAATCACCACTCGAAGGACGGCTTTGGACGAGATAGAGGAGGAGGGGGAGCAGCCCGCCCGAAGCCGCAACGGGAGGAAAGTTGACCCACCTTGTTGAAGCGGGAACTCCAGGGAAAGCTGAGATCGCTGCTACCGAATCCCAGCTGAACTCAAACCGCACACTTTGTGTACTGACCTCACAATTCCATCGTGAATTTCATTAGAACACGATCGGAGAGAGTTGTTCATTAACTAGGTATACCCATTTCCAACGCGAGAGCAGACCTCAGAACTCGAAGTTCAGGCGATCGCGGAAGCGTACGACACGCCTGTGGGAGGCGATAAAAAAAGTCAGGAGTATTTGCCGTCTATTCGTTCGAAGCCCAACAAGATGCGATCAGTTCACCGAATTATGCGTGGTCAAGGACAGGTTAAAGGTCCTCATGGACATGCCGACAAGGTCAGCGCGGGTTCAGGGTTAAATTCACAGAGAGAGAGAGTTTTAGCAAGACTATTCAAAACTGCTGAGTCCGTTTTTGTCCCTTCCGATTGATTCCGCTGTCTTGCCATTGCCCAAACTGACCATTTCCCTTTGAAGATGGAACAGTACATTGGCAGTGGTTCAACGATTCCTGAGACTGGAGAACCCTCTCAGGGAATTCCTCGCAAGTCGCCCAAGTTTAAGGGTCTCTTTCTTGAACCCCAACGAGAAAGAAGTTCCTCAAGACGCTGTCTCGGCGTTGAACCATGTCCAAGAAGCCACGAAGTGTATGTCGGCGAACGACTCCACGCTGGCTAAAAGGGATGCAGTTCTCGAAGTTATGAGTTGTGACTCTGTCTGAAACTGATTCTTCAAGTAACGTTCCCACCCCAGACAATGACTCCGAATGTCGCAAGTCGACATTTTCCTTGATATCCAGTCCACATTCCACATATTCACTGCCTTTTTTTTCAGACAATGGTAGCAAATCTGGATCGACTTCGGGGTCCTTTCGCCGAAGTGTTGACATGGAATCGTTGCGCTCGGATCAGAATGCGGGGATGCTTCCCTGCGCGCTTCGCGAGATACCTCGCGGAGCGGGAGCTCACCTCCTCGTTCGATCGACGACTCCGATCGATCAAACCAGGGAGCCATCTCCCGTCTGAAGAGCGCGAGTTAGAGAAACTCGTAACTGAATGCCTCAAGAAGGCAAGGGAAGAGACGCCAGCTCATGGTCCAACATCCCATGATCATGATTATGGTATGCCACGAGCTAAGAGAAGCTGCGAAGACCTGAGTGAAGGTCAGCTCACCTCGAGTTTTAGGGTCTCATGGCACTACCGGCACAAATTTGCACTGCCCTCCAGACGGTTCCACCCACCAATGTTCCCGCGAAGCGACTGTTTAGCAAAGCCGGGAACGCCCGCAACTATGATCAAGAACGTATGGGAGATGAACGGTTCGAAAGGCACATCCTGTTAAAAGAATACTACTCGAAGTCCCGGCCGTGGCTGGAACCTTCAGAGGAGAGCTATCTCTCCAGACCCCCGTCGAATCCGAACCCTGATTGGGATTGGCTGAGATGAGGAGCCTCCTTGCTGCGAGGTCGAACGTTGCCAAAGAAGATTTCAGCTTGACGGACGAAACACCTTTTTGAATGAAGTATACTTGGAATACGGCATGCCGTTTGATTCTTGAATTCAATATTCTAGCGCTGGGGGGGGGGGACAGCCACTCGGTGCTGTGGCCGGAGCGCGAATAATCTGGACTTGCATTTTACAGGGAAGTGATTTATTCCGACGGTTTGGGTCTTCATGGAGACCCACCGCTACGTTGTCCTTCTTGAACATTCACGTCGATTCGCAGCCTGGGACGAAGCTCGGATACCCTAGTCTTTTCGAAAATTATCTATTGTGCTCCCATCTGGATCCCGCACAAATCGAAGCATGTAAAAAGTGTTGAATCGATACAGAACTATTTCGTTAGGAGACTTCGATACCGGTGCCCGTCACATCTCTCCGAGATCTCACTTCCCCCTATCATGGAAAAACTCGGGGCCTTTGATGCTCAAGCCCTTCGAAGAGTTGTGTTATTGGGAGATACAGATCATTTCTTCGATGTATCCCGTAACTTGGTGAGATCGAAACTCACATTACGCACAAAATCCTCAGCCAGAACTGAAGCGATAAGGAACTCCTTTGCATGGCGTATATGCGCCAAGACCAACAGACGGGTCCTGAATAGTGAGATCTTCCGGCACTCCCCTCCTGCTTGCTTGTCATATGTGACACCCTAAGATGCTGTGATAGGCTACGTCTACCATTCAGATACCTTTGAATAAAAGAGATATAGACTTTCATACTTTCTCCAAAACAAGACAGGGCAATTAGGAGGAATGAAAATGGATTCAGCGAAATTGAATCGCGGCTTTGCTGCGACTTTCTTTCTGTCAGCATTCGGCAAATCCATGAGAACTTTGACTCGGTCAACACTATAGAGGAGCTATGTCGGATAACTCGCCTGTTGCTGATGCTCATTAGAACGTGTTCTTCCCAGCGAAATGCAGCGTTTGCGCGTTTGTTGAAACGTGATGTCTTCTTCGGTCAGTGCCTCGCCTCCCGAAACAACGATTAGTGCTTGATGCGATTGTACCGGAGATTCACCAACCCTCCGCGTTTACCTCGTTGTTTATTCCCGGCCCTCTTCAGGGAAGCCAATCGGAAGCCTGGGCTGACGTGCACCGGTTTGCTCGATAGGGCGATCCAATCCGCAAGATAAATTACCGCAAACCTTTGACGTCGCCACGGCCTGTCGTCGGTAGACTCGCCACCAGAAAGCCCTGTCGGCGACAGAGGTTTTTCTTCTGGCGGTCTGATGTCGGATTATGCCCGTTCGCGAATGGGTGCTAGTTCGAGGCAAAGAATTCCAACTACACTTGAACGCATATGGTCATTCCCAATATGGATGTCGCTCAAGATTTTCGTGGCTCCGCCAGTGCCAGGCGGAGTCCCTCCCCTCGGTGAACAGCAGAGGAACGACTGCGTCACCTTGCCTTGACTGGAGGGCATACTCCCAAAGGAGGTACCCTGGCCCTTGGGAGCGGATTCTTCGGCACGGGAACACTGGAAACCATCGAGATAGTTTCCGACTCCGTGAACCGTGGAGCCTCGGAAGGAGTCCATCGACTGTCTTCCGGTTTTCCTTTCTATTGTTCGCCCTGGAATACTCACTCGTCCTCAAAGTTCCGTTTCCCATTGGATCGTTCGGCCAGTGTATGTCCGGCGGTGTACCAGTCTGGAATACTTTTCGTCTTCCACTTTGAAACTTTCATCGCCTCGATTTTAGAGAGCTCGTCCTCCTTGAAGCAAGTCATGCTCCAGGATGGCAACTTCTGCATCCTCAGTCATCTACTTATTCTTCATGGGTCCTAGATAAGTTCAGAAAGTTTTTAACCAAACTCCCACGGTACCACTGGCAAACTTGGGCAGATTGGAGAGGACTCCTCCGCTCCGTGAATTGAAAACCGCGCCAATTCGCCGCCTCCGCCCTCGGCCAATACGGCCGCCTCAGCCGGCCGACCTGTCCGCCGGTTTCGGCAGGGAAGTGTGACATGAGGGGCGTATAGACTTTGTTGTTAAGGGGTCTCACGCGGTAGGTGATTTCCGGAAGGCGCTCTCAAGGTCCCGTGCTTCTTTCGATACGGAATACAAGCCCGATTTCCCCAGGTAAGGAGGCTGTTGAAGTCTAGACCTGACACCCCAACCATAAATGACGGAATTCTACTCGCAGCTGCTCAAGGGGTTCCGCCTTTTAGGAGCCTGACAGGTGGGCCCCAAAAAACGGGAAGCTCTTGTGCTGCCGATTCCCCGCTAGAACTGTGATCGAGGGTGCTGACAACAGACAGAAGTGCTCAGTCAGCTGTCTGATCACCTCCGGGGAGAAGATTTTTAATTATTCTCCATAATTGAAACTACGTATACTCCTCTGCCGACATGTGGGAGCTCCTTCAGAGCAGTATCATTCCTGTAATAATCGTCGTCATACTCCTCAAACTATTCGGTGGCAAGGGTTCGTCATCTTCAGTACCGGTTGGATCCAAAGTAGGTGTTCAATCGGATATCACCAGCCGTGCTCCATTCGTAGTTCAAGTCATCCGAGTCGTTTTATTCGTGATGCAAGCTATCTGAGCGGCGAGAACTTGGCTTCTTTGAGCTTGATACGATTCTAAAAGACTATGTGCGGAAATTCGGCTCGCCCTAGCCCGGGCTCTTCAATACCCTACCTGAAACCGTTCGACCGAGTCGATCAGGGTCTCTCCTGAATCAGCCGGCCGAACGAGGCTGCAAGAACGCTCGAACATCGCCTCGTGAACAAAGATTTTCTTGTGCTCCGCAGTTCGACATGGACATCATCTCCGGCTCTCAAGTATCGAAGCTTGACAAGAAGAAGAAACCCATATCTGAGGTTTTTGCAGAGAACGACATCGTGGTCTTCTATTTCTCGGCGCATTGGTGTCCCCCATGTCGGTGAGATTGATGGTCGATATAAAGGATCGGTCTTTTCGTGGAATCTGTTTTGGTAATTTTTGTGGAACTCATCACTCTCCGTCAACCATTCACAGCAACTTCACACCGCAGCTGGCAAGCATCTACAAGGGTTTGAAGGAAGCCGGAAAGAAGATCGAAGTGATCTTCATGTCATCCGACAGGACCGAGGAACAGATGTTGTCGTACATGGAAGAAAGTCACGGGGACTGGTTCGCTTTCGAGTTCGGGTCGCCCATCAAAAAGTCAGTTCCGACAAGACATCGAATCCTGCACAATCAATGTCGTTCCTAAAGTCCATCGATAACGTCTATCTCGCGGGTTTCTTTCCCAGGAAATTCGCTGAACACTTCCAAGTCTCATCGATTCCGACCGTCATCGTTTTGAACGGAGATGGCGTAGTCGTCTCCACTGACGGCAGGAATGAAATCCTGCGACTCGATGCTGGTGTATGGGAAAAATGGACGGCAGGCGCTCCGCAGTAGTTCTTGATCGCAACGTGCCTCGCTTGCCATCATCCGAAGCATCAGTCTATTGATGAATTCGAATCGAAGAGTGATGCATTATTCGGAATCGTTGGGATATCATTCGGAAAAAAGCATTCCTCTTGGACCGGGCGTTCGTGGGAGCATGGATTACGACGCAATCCCAGCGTTGGAATCAATGCGACAGAGAGGAAGTCCTCTTATTTCGGAATAAAATGCGTGACCCTTCAGGAGAGTCGAGCGTTTTCCACAATGAGCAGAAGAAAGAGGGGGAAATGTCAGATGACGTCTCTGGGACTGCTCGATAGGGAGGGACCGGCCTAGGAGAGATCGCTGGGCGGGGGCCTTGTACGAGGAGCCTCGCGGACATCCATCCGAATTGCCTCGGAGAACCTGTGCAAGAAAAAGCTGTCTCCTGCTCCCCGGATTGCGGTTTCTGATGTTTCGCGCATTGTCCTAGACCCTGTGATCGGGACCGATAGTCTCGAACCCCCGGCAGCTCTTCTTCCCTGGAGTTCAGAGCTGGGATGGAATCGCTCTCTCTGAAATGTTCCTCTATTTTGTTCAATTGCGTCCACGCAGCTCTCTGTTGCCCTTCACAAGCTCCTGTCCGTTTACCGGAGGTTTGGACCGAGATGCTATCTCCAGGCCAATCAGTGGTAGAATATCCATTCGCAAAGCAATCATTTTATTTTACACTCCAATACACGATCGTCTTATATTACATTTATACAATTTATACAATATAGAATAGAATGACAACTGGCGATAAGCACAGCGAGTACCCGTCTCACTCAGAACCTGTTCGCGCTGATCCTGTCGACAGGGGACCGTCCTGAAATGCATCCGCCGTTTTGAGCAATGTTATGAGGGAATCCTTCCTCTACAGCTACGGACCTTCCTGTCCAAGCTCTCCGAACATCTCTGAAGTTGCAGAAACAGCTGTCTCTCGCTGGCCCTGTCGCTCTCATTCCTTCTTTCCCGACTGCACGCCTGACCGAAGATCTTTGATCGACCTAGATGTCGCCGTCGACGTCGATTCGCTTCCGCGTCGTCTATCACCCGATCTATCGTATATCCTTCTTACGTTCCTTCCTAGCCTGCGGTGGAGATCCTAGAAATTCTTTTTCGTCGACGGTCCCGGAACCCGAATCGAAGAACGGAAACTCCCCTTGCTACTCCCCGAAATCAAAGCACTACAGCTATAGCCTCGATCTAAAGGACGATAATCGATTTATTATACAACATCTCCTTTCTCACTCAGATAGAGTTCTTCTATCTGCAACAAAGCGTATACATATTCTTCCTCGATGATAATTATGGTAGTCTCAATAAGAGCTTTATATGTTTAATCAGAATGCATGATCATTCCATCGAATCTTCCTGTCTCCATCTCATCCTGCCTGCCTGCCTTCCTCTCTTCCTGCCCGCCAGCCCACAATTTCTCCTCCACGATCTCCTGCACACCGCCTGCCTTGTATAGACGTTCCATATTTCGTTTCGACGGATACTCCCTATGACTTAGCGGCGACTCGATCGGTCGGTTGGTCAGCGCACGGACGGACGGACGGATGACCGCTTGCTCGAGTGCCCCTTTCTCGATTTGAATGATTGACTCTATTGACTTGTACTGGTTGCTGTGGCTGTTGCATCGTGTCCCGACCAATCCTAGGCAACGACCCGTTTCCGTTGACAGCACCACCATCCTACCCCATCTTGGTCCTAATACTGACTCCTAGTCGCAGCCCTGGGGTACTCACCCCCATACGGAGACGCGGCAGCCCGAGCGCTCGAACTGTAGCCCCCTCCTCGGAAGGGTCCTGGAGCGCCGGAACCACCCCCTGAGTTTTCCCCGTACCCGTAGAGTGGCTGATAGCTCTGATATCCCTGCGGGTACTCATTGGAATTTCCCCCCCAACCTAAAACATAGAATCGGCTCACATTACAAGCGACGCCAACTTTTTCCTCGCTCCAAATTATTCTATCACAGAAAGACTTCTCAGGCGACCGCACCTCGAATCGATTTAGACGACTAACCTGAGTAGCTGTCCGTGGAGTAGCTTGGGAAAGCGTTCGTCTGGGGACCTCCCTGAGATTGGGGTTGTCCCCCCCAAGCGTATCCGGGCCAATCATCCGAGTCGCCGTAGCCGCGTGACGAATATCCGCTGCAAAACTCAAATCGGTCAATGCACCGAACCCGAGAAGCTCCTCGAAAGTACGATTCGGAGGGAAGTATGCCCATCAGACGTTTTCCCTTTCCATCCGCCTATTAGGATTCCCTCAATGCTTGCCGAACTCACCCTCTATGAGGAGGGGGTGCAGGGGGGCCGCGGTAATGGTGACTCGGTCCAGAATTATGAGGTGGTCCCATGAAGGAGTCTTTCCTCTTCGCTTTCTCCATTTCGATTTTGCTCAAGGCCTTCTTCACTTCAGTCCTTTTTCCCTTAATCATGTGGTGTCTGAAGAATCAAACGAAGAGGGCATTTGAGTTTGCGGATCGGAAAGGAAAACGCTCAGGGAACGTTCCTGAGGGCTATTCGTCCAAGGTTTTCCGAAAGCGTCCCGGAAATCATTTAGATTCGCAGAATGAGTTCGCCGCAGGTCTCATGGTCAAACAGTTGACAGGAAACAGCTGTGTGGACTCAATGGTCTTATCCCGTTTCGGCTTGGAACTCCGATCGGGGCGGTTCTCTTTGCTGATGGCGAATTCTGTCTCCGACCTACCGTTGTAGAACCACTTTGTCCACAGAGTCGTAATCGTCGAAGGTTACGAAACCGAAACCTCTCTTGCGTCCCGTGTCCCTCTCGGTGGCTATGATGACTTCTTCGATTGAGCCATATTTCCCGAAGTAATTTCGTAGGTCTTCAGCTTCAGTTTCTGTCGAGAGGCCGCCGACAAAGAGCTTCTTCACCGACATGTTCGTATCACCCGAAGACTGCTCTCTGGAACCGTTAAAAATCATTGTCTCCCGCGCCGAAGGGTGAACCGGGGCAAAATACCCATAGAGGAAAGACCTGGGACGTTATAAAGGATTCCGATTGAGATTCTCCTACCGGAAAGTTCACTGACCTCGGAATCGCTCTTTTGGGCTCAACGGTCCTATTATCGATTATATGCGGTCTCTGAGCCATGGCCTGATCCACCATTTGAGAATCAGCGTAAGTTACGAAACCAAATCCCCGTGAACGCTTCGAGTACGGGTCTGTCATGACCACACAATCCATGATTTCACCCCATTTCGAGTAGTACTCCTGTCGACCGTTGCACACGTGAGACGTGTTTCAATATGTGGCTCCATATTCTATAAGTTCGGGTATTCTTCACGCCGAACTCCAGGCCATACCAAGAATCGGCAGCTTACCTTGAGAGTGACCTCGTTCGTTTTATAATCGAGGCCGCCGATGAATAGCTTACGCATGTACTCGGGTTCACTCGAGCCGCCGTTCTGAAAATGAAGTTCTCTTCTTAATCCGGATCAGATATTCATTTCATTATAAACAACATCATGAAACTTCTTTATCGAGTGTTATGAGAGGTGGAGCGAAGTTATGAGAAGATGAGAATGATTTCTATCTCGCTGGAAGATGCGCTCTCAGACTACTTTATTTTGTCGACGAAAACGGAGAGGTGTAATCAGCTCCGGGCTATATACCGACAAGCTCAACGAGAGGTCCCCTCAGACGGGAACGCTCCTTTGAGCGCCTTGCTTCGCCCACTAGATTCGCTCTCCACGTCGCAGCGCTCTGTTCAGGACTTGGCTCGACGATCATGACGCAGCCTCTGCAGAGAGAGGCTGCCGTGGAGAGATGCCCCATGAGAGGCCATCGGCCCCTTCCGATTTTCGGAAATCCGCGCGCAAGTCCTACGTATATCGTTGATTTCTCCGAGTACAGCAAAATATATTCATGGCTCCCATGCGAAGGCTGAAGAAGACGTGAGCGACGGATGGAAGGGAAAACCGATTTTTCCCCGCAATGCTGACCCGGAGCCCCCCCCCTTCTTAGCTCCGACGGCGCGGCGCTCGCAGCACAAGCAACAAGCCACCGGCGACATCCTTCTCGTCAGTGTCAAAGAACGGCAACGTGACGAGTTCGTAGACTACGACCGTTATTCAACGTAGCTCTTTTTGAGGTCACTACTCTGTAAGGCAACGAACGCGAGCGAGCAGATAGACCAGAAAATCAACGAAAAAAAGAGTGGAAACAGTTGGACAAATAATAATATCGGCGCAGAACTCCCGTGCCGGCTGCCAGCTGTAAGTGCAGTGAGAGTCGAGACCGAATTATTGCCCGAAAGCGGGCTCAACAACCGACAACGAAAGATACTCTCTCGACACGATTCCATCAGATAAGGTTATTCTCGCTCTCCTCGGCCAACGAGACGAGCAAAGAAACGCTTCTCGAGGAAGCTATCTGATGCTACTCTCTGGTTATATCCAGATACAGTTCGTCGGTTCTAGGATTCGCTATCCGATGGACGCTATCCGCTTGTTAGATAAATAATGATCAGAATCCGTTCCGGACAGAGTGGAAATTCCCCCTTCAGATTCTAAATACGATTCTGAAGAGGACCCCGCGAATTCGTAAATCAGCTCGGGATACGAAGACCTTACGGCGCGGCGCTTCCGACAAGCTCTATTCTCACGACGAGGAATCGTGGATCGAATCCCTGTCTCTCTAAGCGCATGCCTATTCAGTGAGGAGACCATTTCTCTGTATAGAACATATGTACTCGGAATAGTTCTGCCGGCTTTGCCACGTTATAGGGTTTTCAGATGCATACCTAGCGAGCCGATGCGCCTGACTGCGCCGCTCTTACACAAGGTGCGCGCTCGGCCTCGTAAAATCGATATGATGACTAATCGAAATCTCGTCAAAGAAATTTCTGCGCTCACTTTCGAGCGAGGCGTGTATTCGACGCTCACGATGCCGCTCGACTGCATATCAGGACCGGCATCGATTTCGATCTGCTCACCCCTGCATACAGGCCGTCCCGAATAGACTCCGACTTTCAGAATCTAACAAACAGCCGACCAACGTTCGTGTACCATCGCTCGCTGCTATTTGCCTCGATCCCGGCGAAAGAGCCGAAGGTGGAGTCCGGAGCGCTCGCTGGTTTGCCCAGTCGTCAAGCTCCCGCGCTGAACTCGGCTTCATCTCGTTTGTTTGGATATAGATTTTTTTTTCAAAGTCGATCCCTGTACGCGCAGAGCAGCCGTGAACTCTAAAAAAATAACGACCACAAACCGAAATAATGACGACGACGCCGAACACCGATCACGGAGATCCCACCGTCCGCTGAACAGCGACTTTCACTCGTCTTATGCGGGAATCGAATTCGAGCTCATCATCTAATGATTGCGAATCTCTGACGCACTTTACGTGACCGTTCATTCACGACGACACGATCGAGTGAAAAAGCAACGGCAGAGTAACGGTATAATTCTGCCATCTTAGGCTAAACGAGCGCTATATGCTTCGTTCAATTTAGCTTACGTCAACTTACCGACGGGGTTGACTCGTTTCCGTTTTCCTGTTTCATTTTTGCGATGGTGCTTGTTGCTCGGAAAGCGACACGCTGCTGCAATTAGATGTGACGCGATCGAGGTGCGCTCGGAAGATATTCGCCGTCAGTCAAAAAAAAGTCAACTTTGACGACGACGACAACGACGACTTCAACAGGCAGCAAATGTGGACGGACTACAATTCCCACAAGAGAACAACCACCACCACCACCACTCGGAGTAGCAGCGGTACGAGAAGAACAACAAATAATCCGTCAGCTTAGCAGTAGCAGAAGCGAGCGGACGACGCCCGGTGGTGTGTGTTGCCCCTCCTCCTCCCTCCTCCTGCCTGCCGTTCACACACCAGATCACACCACCAAACAACACACCAACTCTAACCACTGTTAGACATGCAGGTCATTCTCGGATCATTGTCATCATTATAGTCAGGAATCGATCTGATAGCCGGATTGCAAGCCTCGCTTCCAGCACAGGTGAACTCAGGCTGGTGAGCGGCGAGGATGTTCGTGCATCGATTCCGGGGGAGGAACTAGACAGGGAGCCGTCGGGAGATGCTTGACTCGAATCGAATGGGAGGGGAATGATGCTGATGATGATCAATGTTGACAGCTCGAGCGAATATCGGCGCATCTTCCCCCACTACTCCAGTCTCGTCTTCCTGGGCTAGGTCGAGGCATCGGAGGAGTTAGAAGAGCTGGGAGATTCGAACCGAAGACGGCAGGGCGCCGATTATCTCTCCTAGGAAGAGAAAGTGCCGGCGTCCGCCTGATTCCAGATATTCTTCCTGGAACACGCGAGGGCAGAGAGGGGACAACTCGAGGAAGTTCCACATAGAGATTGGTTCCCCCGAAAATCTACTTATCTGCGTCTCCCATTCCTCATATCGGCCATTGTTTCCAGGGAATTTCTGGTTGGCCGAGTTTCCGTAGTTCCTTCACACAATGGACGCTCGAACAGTGTGTAGCTTCGACCCATTCGTATTGGTTGGCTCGGCATCTTCATGGCTTCCCTCTTCGCAGGTTGCCAGATCCGCAATCATCGATAGCTGAGTTCTCCTGTGACGATTTGTTGATGCTGATGTATCCTTCCCGAAGCAAGGGCCCGAGAAACTCATGAAGAGCAGGTCTGCCTCGGAAGCGGGATTTGACGGGACCATGCCAGCTCAGGAAACCGAGGTACCGCTCGAGGTGTGCTCGTATCGAAAATTTAAGGTTCGACACCATGCTCTCTGAAGGAAAAATCGGTGGGATACTCCGCGGCGACCTGAACTCCTGACAAAAATTCGAGTTTTGTTCAGATCTTCTGAAGATAATCGAGTTCCCGAAAGCCTCTTTCTTCAGTAACGATCAAGCCAGGTCGGGCTAGGGGGGGGGGAGAGGAATCGTGATGCGATATGTCACTTTAGGTGAAGCAGCGAGAACTCAGAGGGCTGTTTGTGCGATCGATGGGTGATCTTCAATGAGCCCGAGCTGTCAGGTTGGGGAGTTAGGAGGATCGCCCGCAGTCGCTCAGGCTTACAAGAGAAACGAAAGATCGATCTTTTCGTCAGTCTTCTATATCCCCTCATGTGACTCCCATCTTGCGGAATTTTCCCTCGGGCTCCGTTCGCGCGGTATCGCCCTCGAGATTGTATGCCACCTCGATACAATTCATGCGGAGCCAGTGGACGTCAAACTGTTGAAACAGCAATCGAGCGACTCCCACGTCCACTTCTCCTCGATCCGGCCTTTTTTCCAATAGTCATATCTAAACCTCCCGACTTGTCAGCCAACGGGGATTGCTGGACGGCAGCTCAGTCGTCAGTCCCGTTGTCTTTCTAGCCGCCTCTTGTCCGATCTTGTCCTCGAGTTCGCGATTCGAGGGATAGCGGTGTGGATGGAGTGGAACGACGGCAAGTCGGCAACCCGGAGCACCACTTGTCGCTGCTGCGTCTAGGCCCAGCCCCCTCTGAGAGAAAGGGCACCCGGCAGATTTGAAATTATCTGGTCTCCGAGTCGATTCAACCCAGAACAGAGAGACTCCGTGGAATATTTCGAAGAGTGCAAAGCCTAAGCAGCTTCAGAATATTTCTCTCGTACCTGAGCATCTAACGAGTCCTCAAGTAATCGAATGGAGATCGATTCTGGCCATTTCACCCGATCAACTCAGGGTCTGAACTATCGAATCGATCAGAAAGGATGATTACGATAATGAACGTCCGTTTTGAGGAGTCCTGAGGGGGTCTGGACCTCGGGAGAGCACAACGCTCCAAAATGCATGCTCGTTTCCGAGGCATCGATGACGCAAGGCCTAGAAATCCAACTTCTCCCCACGTAACCCTCACTTTCTCTCCGAGCATCAGCTGAGTCTGCCTCCATGGGAGAAAGCGGCCCCAGGAGTTGCAGTGGTTTCAATCGCACTCGTAAACGACTCGTTTCATTGCGCCGATGCGCGGTCGGTCGGGTAAGTCTTCCGGGGCCGAGAGCGTCGACATATAATTTTAAAAGCTGCAAATTTCCCGCTCGATGTCGGCGGCCTTCGCCCAGCGGCGCTACTGCATGTAAACAGACTGTGTTGTTACTGACTGTGTGCTCTTGCTGCAGCAGCTCCTACCAGCCAGGTATGTTGTGTTCACGGACTGCGCTTTTTCATTGAAAAGTGCATTGCGAATAAGACTCGGAGCTCGGAGATACCGCGGAAGGCTCGGTCCCGGACTCGACAAGCTCCTGCACCGACGATTCGGTAATGATAGTGTCCCCGAAGCTCGGGACAGCCGATCGCGACCGGAGACTCTGCTGCTGCTGCTGATGATAAGCCAGTCGAGTCACTCAGTCAGCCAGTCGGTAACAGAGCGTCTGACGGTATGCATTGAGAAGTCAGACGTTCCGGCGATCAGGATATCGTTGATTTCCATCTGGTAGTGAAGTTTTTCAAGCGGTAATCAAGCAGACGTTGCGTTGTTTTGAACGTACACTCCATCGCCTGTGAGCCGAGTGAACGAGGCCTTGAAACAGGGGCCTCCTGGACGAACATTTTCTCAGACGTTTCTTCATCAGTTATGGTGATTGCTCTTGTGTTCTTGAGTGCGGTCGACGATAATTCACCGAGTCTCAAACGTCTCCGGCTCGAGCTCGAGCTCGCATACGTCATCTAAGTAATTACGTTTGTTTGTTGCCGACCGGGACCGAATCTGCTGCGATCAGCAGCGCGAGTGCTAACTCTGGAGTGTTTTCCAATTCTTCTCGGTGTGTACCCGCGAATTAGACGCTACTGCCTTTTGCTCAAGTTATCCTCCCAATCTGAGCTTAATCGCGATGTAAGCGGATCAGCATACAGAGTGGAAGTCCGTCGGCTTCTAGCGCTTCTCAAACGACAAGCGAAACTACGGTGGCCGGCAAGTGAACTCCCGTCTCCGGCACCCACGGACACGGAGGGGCGAGAATCCAATCGGTATACTCACTTAGGCAACAGTGAATTTTCTGGGCTCCTTCGGAATATGAGGCAAACAAATTGACCGTCCGAGCTTTGTCTTGACCACCGAGCGACTTCGGAAGCCAACTGCCTCGATTGACGGCAGGACGGGCGGACAGACGGACGGACGGACCGACTGACTGGCTGGCTGACCCTCTGACTGACGGATAGACCAACGAACTGAGCTAAGTGACTGAACCATGGCCTAACTGGTTGTCGATCAGACAGCCGGCCGGTGGACCTTCTTGTTCGTCCGCTCCGTCCGAGAGTATCGTGTGCTTACCTGAATGCTGAAAATTCAGAGTTTGTTTCCGAACGCCGTGCGCGCAACGCTTCAGTATCCTGTTCGGTCCTTATCCTGTTTGTGACTTATGCTATTGATTGAGCGGAATAGAATCTCATTGTACGATGTATTTTAATTCGTTTCCGGGAAAAGTCAAGATAACGCATCGCGCAGTCGTGGAAATTTCATCGTCGAACTTCTCATATTGAGCGTATTTATATTTTTCTATTTGGAAATCTGCGCGGAACGCTCCTCTCACTCAACGACGCGCCCACAGGAGCGTCTTCGCCCGCTCGGTTGGAGATCTGATTTTCGTACCAAGTCTGAGTTATTACCGAGAGAAGAAAAAAACACGAATATCTTCAGGAGTGAGATGCACTGAAGTACGCGGCGCGAGCCAGCGACGGGCTGCACAGTTGCGCTACCCAGAAATACCAGGGATGGCTCCGCGCCGTATTGGAGTTGGCTGGCGACCAAGTTGTCACCGTCGACTCCATGAATTTGCACTTCATTCAATCTATGTTACACATAACTTATCTATCTCGTATGCTGGCGTGACGCAGGCTGTAGTCAAAGCTGATGCTTCGATCATTGTCGGCCCGTCGTCGATTTACCTGTCGAGTCGAGTGCGGGCACCGATACGATCGGCACACTCCTCAGCGGCACCGCAATTCGATTTCCTCATTTATAAAAAGCAGGAAATCAAGGGAGAGTCATGAAATGCGGTTATGTAGGAAGATTCACAGTATTCACCTGTCGAGTGCGATACTTGGCCAACAGTCGGAAGCAAACTGGCGAACGAGATGCCAGGCGGGCGAACCAACATCGGACGTAGCTTAAGTCTTGATTTTTTGTTTTCTTTGCAGAAATGTTCCAATCCCGATAGAGAGCTGGCTCGGTGATAGTTCGGACTCCGGATTCGCTCAGACATGGGGGAGATTGTCTTCGCGTGCGCGTGTCTCAATGTGGAGCTTCGCTGTCCCGAAGCTTCCGCAAAGTCTCTCCGCGATGAACCTCTGGAATCGGTCTTCGGGGAGAATCTCTGCTATCTAGCGAAGCCGCAGAAACGAGTAGTGAGTACTGCATCAAGTCGTGACTTCTCTCAAAATCTTTGGGAATCGCTGAGGAATGGAGCTCTTTTTCTCTGATGTGTCGCGTCGACCTCGAACTGGATGAACGTGATGTTTGCTCTTTCATCTCGAGCCTCAAGCTTCGAATCTAGTCAAATTCAGCATTCCAATCTGTGCGGGAATACAACCCGCTAAACGATAATTTCACCAGCCGCAGTGTTGCGATCTATTCTTTTCCCTCTCATTTTCGAATTGCCAAAGGAGGTTTCTGCGAGCCAGGAAGGTTCCGCTATTCCGAGATAGAAGTATTTCATGAAGAGAGGAGCCGTGGTAGTCGACTCTCCGATGAAAAGGCGATACTTCCTGGCCTTCTCGATCACGATTCAGCCGGCAAAAAAGAAGCCTGTTCAACGTTTGTTTTTTTCGCCGTGCGGTAACAGTAGTCGCTGAATACGTAAATTTGAATTAGTTAGCAGCAAAGATCGACTCGTTTTCTCCAAGAGGCGCCAGCTGAGAGACCTTGGAAATGTTGACTATCTTCTGGTTGGGCGAGAAGGCTTATGTCAAATGTGTTATCTCACTGTTTTTCACTGAAACGGAAAGCGAGCTCCAGATGGTGGCGACCTGTATAGGATTTCGTGACGTCGTCGAAGCACAGCTAAATCTAGATTCATGTTTTCATAATATTATTCTCATCGTCATTATGATTCCAATCATTACTACGAAAACCGCTGATACACGTAGGTATCAGAGACCGGGTCTTGCTCGAAGCTTGTTCCGCGGAGGAACTGTGAGCCTACCAGGATCGATTGGTGAAACTCTACGATTCGCAATCGATGTATATTGATGATGATGATGACAGAGGCGGATTTTTACGCTTTACAGCGCGAGGATCGTGCACAGGGATTATGAGGCCAGCATCTGCTGTGTCGCGAGCGCTTCTCATTCGGAAAATCGATTGTTATCATTTCTCCGCGGTGGCTTTACACCGAGAGCCCTCGCTTGCACATGTTAATATAATCTTTCCGAAGCGGATGGGTCAGACCAGCGAGCGGGAGCTGCCTCTCAGTCTGTTGTCCTCGTTCGCGGACTTCCGGGAGGCTCAGCCTGGACCTGTGTTATCGAGCGGAAGACTCGCGCACGCTCAAACGGGATTCGGGCATTTGCGCGAACTCCTCGGAATCATGCGAGCCTCCCCGTCGTAAAAACGTTTCCTGTATGGTTTAAATTGTTCTTCCTTCTTCAGACTCACGATTGGCTCTTGCGAGAGAAGAGGTGTGGAGAGAACGAGTTGAGACATTGCGCCGCTTGTAATGCACTTGTCTTCGCAATTCAAGGACAGGACTTTGTGGTCCCACAGAAACTCAAGAGGTAATTTCGAATTTCTAGGCAAACCTTTCATGAATATCATTCAACTCGAGAGGATCCTCTTTCGGACCTCCCGAACCCGGGATTATCTCGTTCGGCGACGTCGACCGTGGGAAATCTATTCAGTGTTCTTTCCTTTCCCCCTCAGAAGTGACAAGGAGCTGGATTGCCTCCGACAACACAATTGCTTCTCGGAATGTCTCCAGATCATAATCGATCCGTCGAGCACGCTGCTACAGCGCGGCCTTATCGACACTGAGACGGCCCGAAAGGACTCCCTAGTCCCCGGCTACCTGCAGAACGTTCGTCTCAAAATGATTCAGGTGGTGAAACAGGTGATGACAGAAAAACACAGAATCATCGAAGAGCAGCATCGGAGGGCACTGGAACAGTGGCGCGCACTGCAATCGAAGTGCGACTATCAGTGCAATACGTTACTGAAGATAATCGAATATCAAGAGAGCGCCGAGGAGCGAAGATTCTCGTCAGCGACCACGAAAAGCTGCTCCTCGGTCAGACGTTCAGAGTCTACCGAGAGTAAAGCATCGCTTCTCAGCAGTAAGGAGCCCGCTCTAGATGACGACGTCTTTGAAATGCAGTTCAATGACGAAGCCATTTACGAGGACGACTCTCGGACAGAGCCAGCGGAGGAGGCCAGAGGCATGTATCGTTCCGTCCATCGTTTACTAGAGCGCTATCAATAATTCAGCATCCCGGACATGGAGGATATCGAAGGATACCGGAGAGAGGATATCGATACCGCAGGATGACGGATCGAGAAACGAAATATCCCTATAACTCCACCGTGACACATTCCTGATTCAATCCAGCAGTGGGTAACTTATCTCTCGTTCTCGTTTTGCAGAATTGAGTGGAACAGATGACGAAGATGAGGGCGTTTCTACGACGAGTCAGGAACGCACACAAAAGTCGGACATGGATCTCAGCCAGTACGCGACGTCTCTGCCGATCGAGGTTCCGAAAGAGGCATCGAATTGGCAAGGCCTAAGGCTTGACGAATCCTCCAGGAGCAGACTGGAACAGAGTCCCGTCAAGCCAGAATTCGAGGATATCGCTCGATCTATGAAGGACCTCTCGGACCGGATGATGGACGACCAGACCAAAATGTTTGGCGATCTTCCGAGACCGAGATTGTACACGAACCATTTTTGAACAGAGCCGTAACTTTGCCTTTGGTCGAGAGCGAATCCGCTGATCTTTCGCTAATTGATACACGCCAACACACATACATACACACTCAATCAATGGAACTTTTTCCACCCCGGTTTTCTGTTAGATGGTAGTGACGAAGACGCTGGGGTGCGGTTAAGGTGTAGAGCGATGTTCGATTTTACGGAAGAAGGTGATAAATATATCGATGGGGGATCGTGTTTGTTGCTCCGATTCGGCTGATGCACGAATTTCCGGGAGGAGATCTCCTCCGGTCCGACCCGGTAAAAGCTAAAATCTTGAAAACGTTCGGAAGCAATTATTGTTTGGGAGGAAGGCACCGAGTTCCGAAAATGAACACACCGGACACTTGAGAGTTTTCATGATTCGGGAATCCTCCATTGAGCCGGCAGACTCATCGACTTTAAGTGAACGGTATCAGGGGGGGGGAACTAAATGCGACTGTTTCCTTGTCCATGAGTGGTTTCCACCATCGACTTCAAACTATGCCAAGAGGAGAGCTATTTAAAGGCTGAACATTCAGCGCGCGTCAGGGCGGATCCAAGTACATAGTCGGTGTTATATCAGATGCGCAGATGAAAAAAGAAAAAAATATCAAACGTGAACCTGTGACCTCATTCTTCATTGGTAGCCTATCGTCGGTGAGGCGTACAGGATCCATCCGCTACTGTCGAGCGGAATGAATTTGTGCAATCTCATTCTCCATCAGACGATATTTATTCCATCGTTATGTGTTTAGTGGATCCTAGTTTTCGCATTAGTGTCTCGATTTGTTACAACCCCATTTTTCGGAGGGGTTGTTCTTGAACGTTGTTTTCTCCTTTTTTCTGTCGTCAGCTATTATTTTCTATCCCGAGGGGGTCTGTGTGAGGACTAGTAGATGCCTAGAGGGCTGCGCACAGGAGTTTTTCCAACCGATCGTACCCCATCGGGGACGTTGTCGCTCGTTAGCAGGAATGAGAGTATAACATCATCGCGGGAATCGACCACGGCCGCCCATGAGAGTCACCGCGGACGATCGCAATCAGCCAAGGAACTCAGAAGAATTTCGCTTCATCTCATATTCATCTCACGTATACGGGGAAAGTGAAAAATAAGCCCGGCAAGTCTGTCGAGTTCATGCAGCGAGACCGTTTGACAGCGACATACGAGTTCAAATTTCGTAGAGTCTCAGCTGGCACTGCTCTTTCCCCTCTATGCAATCAGCTCGAGTGAGTCCCTGCGATTGTCTCAAGCGTTTGATCTCCCCGATGTGAAGCCTCTCCTTTCCGCAATCGCTGTAGCGCGCTGCGAGCTTCATGCATTCGACCATCTGATGGAACGGGCTGAAAAACAATCGTGGGCATTAGGCTAATGCCAAATTAGCTCACAGTATCTCAGCAATATATGATTTCACACATGTCCACAGTAGGACCGCAATTGGGATGTCCCACATAGACGCTCAGCCGTTCGCGTGGATGAGAGCGAGGGCATTGTAGTCCTTGAAAGCCCGCTTCTGATAAATCTACTGCTGTGATGTTTCAGAGGAGGCGTTTGCTTTGCCCTTCCAGAGAAATCTACTATTGTCCGGCTTCTGCAGAGTGCAAGCTCCAGGGATAGAGATCGATGGAGACAGAATTCGGATTTTCCCATTGAACCTCGACGTCTCCTTCTTACCAGCAGTTGAAGTTGGATTGTAGATCGAATCCAGTTCTCTGAAGGTCGTTGTGGAACTTTCTATCGCATGTTGATGAGTCACGACGGAAACCATCTGGATCACAGGCGGCTGGGAATAGCATAATTTTTAGATGATGGTCACAGACTTGCTGGTCCCGTTCGAGTTGTTTTTCCCTCCGCTCTGTCTGTATCATATTAACACTTGGGGCAAGGACGACGGGGATTTCGAGACAGCTTCGATCTTCTTTGATTGACCTCGTCTACGATGAGGACGGTTCTATTGCAAATGGAGTCCAGGAAGCGCACGGCGGTCGCATGGTGCACCGAAAAGCTCTTAGCGGAGAGTTGGTGCACAGCGCCGTCGAGCGCAAGGGGGGGGGACATTTTACGACACAGCCTCGACCCGAGGCCCGAGACGGGATGATTTACTCACAAGAGATCGCTAGAAGCACAGACAGAGATACCACGGATTCCAGACGCATCTTTGGAGCGGCGAAGAAATTGTGTAGTACGTACAGAAACGCCGGGTAACGACATACCTTCCGTGAAAGTAGCGAGGGCTCGCCAAATGAGTCCTTGCCGGAAGATCCATCGACGATAGCGTTGTCGGTTTGGGTGGTAGCTCAGATGGTGGAGCGATTCACTTCTGTGCAATCCAAACCGCTTCGCTCTTCAGCGCGAATTCTGTAAAGTAGGAGCAGAAGCTCGCCCAGATCAAGTTCCGGTGTGAATTTCGAGACGTATACCTCGAAAGAGAGTCCGACGCATAGACAGAGGCTTAGCCGAATCGACCGCATTATTACGCGTCACTTTCTCCAAGCAAATCATTAGCTTCACGACCTTCAGGAGTTACGGTATCGTCCCTAGATTGAAGACAGACCCTTTCCCCCAATGCTCGTTACCTCACCAGCTACAATAGGAATTCTGGTCGGGCGATCTTGGCTCCCAAGAGAGGCTTGGGGATCTTAAACGCAATCAAAGAGGCGGATTTCTGTGTAACGAATTGGCGTTTCGGTATTTTCATTTCTGAATTCTCAAACCGACAAATCTTTGTCTGTTCCTCCATAGAACCTTTTCAAGTGGAACTGTGGCGTAAAAACTCTGGTAGCTCCGGGAGAGAAAAACATTAGTACATAGCCCGAAGCTGGTTCTTTGAGGCGAGCGGCAAACCGCTGCCGACTATCAATGCTCTCTCCGCACGTAATTGGTTCAGAATTTCGGTCAGTAGGCAGATCAGACGAGCTTCGGCAAGCAGCACTGGGAAATGGGGAGGCGGGCGAGGTCACGAGGGTCGATGCTTGGCTCTCTCAACGTTAACGGAGTTCCCCACTGCTGAGCAATTCCAGGGGTAAAACGGAGCGCGCCATGAGTTCTCTCTCACTGAGGGACGGTGCGAGCGGCTCGCAATAACTCTAGCATAGGTTCTCCGGAAGCCACCGAGGAGGCAGGGGAAGCGAGGATCTTCAGACGCAGTCGAAATAACATCACGGCTCCCGCAACGTGCATCTCAATTACCTAGTGCTATCACAATCGGCACCGTGATCCATTTGAGATCATGTCTCCGGTCGTGCTCAATGGACTTACCGGGATTCCTGGGTCCCATTCCTATCGATTGGTCCTCGTAACAGTAAAAAAAAACAGGTGAACTCTCGCACTTCGAGATCAGCGATATATACAGCAAATAAATGTATCCTCCACGACGTATTCTTCCCGCCAACTGTTTTCTGTGAGGCATCCAAGTTTGTATGCAATATTCAGCTCCATTTTCATGCCCCGAACCGTATGCGGTCAAATCAAGGATGCGGGTCGGAACTCTGAAATCGCGAATGTGATTGCAACAGCGACCCCGTCCGAAACTACGCTGCGGTTTCATCGGAATCATTATTCAAGCTTACGATGGAGGAGGATAGAAGACTACAGCTCGAAGCTATTCCCCTACACTTCAGACCCAGTGAGAGACGATGGAGCGGGTGACCAATCTTCAGTCGCGTTCACACCACGAGATGGAGCACAACGCTCAGGATGTACTACTCACAGACTTCGTTGCGATTCCTCTGCGAGATCGCGGGTGGCCCTCTTATCGGAGCCATCGTCTCCCCTCCTGGCCGACGATACTCCCCGGCTGGACCTCATATGCCCGTCTCATTTGAATGGCGACTGTCCGTATCGGAAAATTCATCACCGAAACAGATAAATTTTCGATTTATGTCTCCGTCGGAGAGCTGGATACAATGAGAACCGGAGCCAGACGTTGTGAAACGCGAATCACCGACGCCACGCGGTATCGTTTCAGGAAAGGAATCCATGCAATGAACCATGATAATTGAACATTGCCAACAGCTGATGTCAATCACTTCCCTTACGGCGATCCGCGCGGAAAGCCTCGCAGAAAACTTCGTGGAAAACCCTACGAAAACATGCTGGGAACCTTCCCGGGAGCCACCAACTCGGCATCCCGCACCACCCCCGTGAAATGGGAAGTCCCCTCATATAAACCACGGTTTTCACGATTGACGCCCCCCGATCCCCGATAACCGATTTGGTTATCATTGCACCAGGTCGATCAATGATTCGGAGGTGTCCCTCGGGCTAGGCCGAGAGCGACCCCGATCGAGGATTGAACGAATCTTTTTGTCTCGGCCCGAGCGCATCCGTTTCCCTTCCTTCGAAGAATGCCCCGATTCTCGGCCGTCGAGTTATTTTTTCATGGCTCTGAACTCCGCGCACGACGCTTGCAGCGGTCAGGAACACAAGTTACATCATCTGTCGTCGTTGAAGATCGAGAGCACTTCACTCTTCTGTCGGCCGTGGGTGGAGTGCCAAAGGCCGCTTCTCTCGCGGCTGCTGTCGCCAGAATCTCGGAACAGGCTAACTTACTCGTTCGTTCGGCCGCTCGGTCGGTCGTTCGTTCGTCCGCCTGTTCTTCGATGGTCGTCGGACCTGAGCCGAATCGAGTCGAGCCCGAGCACGCGTCTCAAGGAGCCACAGGTTGGACGGCTTGCTTTCTCGTCTCACCCATTCACCAGCTCGGTCTCTGGCTCGCTCCCTTTGTGACATATGTGCATCGCATAATGATGATGATGATGGAGCATGCTGAACTACGTAGGTCTGGATGTGGGTCTCCAGGTCACGACCCGTAGGGTTATGCATATCTGGGCGGATTCCCTCTTCACTTCTCTCCAGGGCGCAGTTCAAGGGTTCAAAACTTTGTGTAACCCAAACAATGGGAGACAACTTGCTCCGATCGTCTTCACCAAACAGAACAGAGGGTTTTTCTTCTCTCGGATGGCAGTGCAGACCCTCTGAGCGGGGCAACCCAGTTCCGCCGAGCCACTCGATTTCAATTTGACTTGCGCAAGATCAAGCTTCGGAAGGATTCTCACATATGAATATATCGTGCTGACTGAGCCGTGAGACATAGCTCTAGGGTCACGTTGGTGATGCCTTGCGGATGCAATCAGATCGAAGTCAATACGCGACGGCATGTCCTCTGTTCTGTGTTAAGCTCTGAAACTCCATTCGACTCCGGTGGTCCTCTTTCACCTTGTCGATATGACGACATCGCGAGCGTCAAGATTCGACACATCATTTTAGTTCGTCAAAATGTTCGACTACCCATGTGACGAACGAAGTAGACCGACGAGAGAGAGAGGAGACTGGAGGAACGCAGGCGAAGTCCGGTCTACGAGGTTTACTTTGGCCGAAGAAGTGACCACTTTTGGATACGAGATGATCGATTGTCCCTCCTGGAACCAATCCGTATGCCGGAGTGTTTTTTTGGGATACATTAGGACCTCATTGAATAAAAATTAAGTCACCAATTTTTTTGACGATTCTCCGAGATCTCCCTAGCTGTGGCGACACGGGTAGCAGTAAGCTTGCGGTGCTCGCCGGACCTCTGATTGAGAGTCTGTAGTCAGATCGGGGAAAAGAACTCTTCAGTGAAAATTGCACCCAATGCTGACCTCCCGAGGCCTTGGAATACTCATGAGTAAGGCTGGGAATAATTCACGGCATTTTTCCCGGAGTTTCACGGCAATTTTCACCCCCCATTGACTTCCTATGGAGGATCGCCTGAAAATACCGTGAAAATTCACGGCTTTTGATGCGATCGCGCCAACTTCCTAGCTCTTCTCATGAGTCGTGACGCTGAACACTCCCTGGAACAACGGCCAGAAGCGATAATGCCGTATTCAGATCGCTCGAGAGCGCGGATCGTACGAGATCTCCTCTGGGAAACAATTTGAAGAGGAACTTCACCTTTTTGTGGCTCAGACTGCTGAGTTCTTCCACGGAAGATGCCCGTCCATCATAGACTGCTCGCCTATGAGAGTCAACTCATCTGTGAGAGGCTGAGAAAATCATCTTTATATATGTACATATGTCTCTGAATGTTGTGGAAAGCATTTTTCACTTAGATAGACGTCATGGGTTCCTGCATGACGCCAGCCGATGAATGGAGGATAATCGCTCGGTGCATTGAGAGTCTCGGCGCAAGAGATCTTCGTTCAAAGAGGTACGTAATAATTATTGGCCGCGTTTTTTTTCAGACACAGAAATGTCGATACTAGCTGCCTCGAAAGGAGCCGAAACCCAGGTCGCCAAAAATTAAGAGCGTCGATATTCAGGACGCCAGAAGTCGTCGATCGAATTGAGCCGAATTCCGCGGGGCGGCCACGCAGTGTTCGGCTTGAAAAGCCTACATACTGAAGCATTGGGATCAAAGTATGAAATTTGCCGCTACTCATTGAGGGTTAAAAAAAAATGAAGATATATCTCCTAGCACTCCTGCATCGTGAAACCTGTGTACATTCTAGCAGTTACCTGTCTCAGACAATCCGGGAATGACTCTGGGGAGACGAGTCTTTGGAAAATGCTCGGAGGAAACGAGTCAGCTTGTTGAACGATGGTACGAGCTGACGGTAGCGCGAGAAAATCATGCTCCCGAAAGTCGAATGCTTGATCAGAGAGAATAATGTAGTCAATCTACTAGTTGCACCGCCGCGCCGGCTCGTTTTGTGTGCCGTACGTAGCGGGACGACGTGAGCATGTAATCACAAGCGCGCGGCGCCTTAACGAGTCAAGCAGCTGTTCCCTCGCGATTACGGAGATAAGCTTGGAAAGAGAAGTGGATTTCGAAGAAGAAGCATTTTGTCTTCCTTCGGGACGTGTGATCGGTATTTCCGCCTGGAGGAATTTTCGGCGCACTGGGTTTCGGCTACCTCAACTTTCGGCGTACTCGGTTTCGGTTAGACGAATTTCGGCGTTCTGGGTTTCGGCGTTAAAGTTTCGGCTTACTGGGTCTACACCGATACTAGCTGCGACAATTGCGCTGCGTCATGCGACAATTCCTCCGGACCTCGTCCGAAGAGAGGTCGGGAGCGCGGAAGCCGGAGCTATTCCCCGCGAGCATGGGGATTAGGGAAGTAGTCCCTCGAAGACTCCGGGGACTTCCTCATCGAGACAGCGTCGATGAGACGATCCGGATTTCCGAGGC